GGGTGTGGGAAGGGCTGAGCTGTGGGGAGGGGGATCAGTTGAGCTGGGGGTACATGGGGAGGGGGTGTGGGAAGGGCTGAGCTGTGGGGAGGGGGATCAGTTGAGCTGGGGGTACATGGGGAGGGGGTGTGAACGGCATAGGGATGTAAAGGATGGAGCACGTGGAAGGCCTAAGATGGGGACTCTAGGGGCGACCCTGTTGGAGGTGTGTGTATGAAATGGGGACATAGGGGGCCTGTGTGTGTTTGTGAGAGAAGTCCTTAAAGGGTCATAAAGAGCCTGTTTTTCCTTCCCCACGTGTGCTGAGTCTTTGTGGGGAAGGGCTTTCTCTTTTCTCCTGACTTGCATAGCTCCTCTGAACAAGTGGGAGAGGAATGTGTGAATGGGGGAATGGGCAGGAAGGAGTGGGGGTAGCGGAGGATGAGGGGGAGGTTGGCTTCCCTTGTGGGAGCAGTGGCCTCCTCTGCCCCAGTGTGTCTCTGGGTCTGCCTCCCCACACACTATTGCTGGAATGGGTGCCCTGCCTATATAGTCCCAGGATGTTTCTCATTTGCAGGCGCGTGCTTTGAAAGTGAGTCCTCAGCAGCCTGTGTCAACAGGACCTGTGCCACCTCCTCCAAAACCCAAGACGACTCCTACAGCTGTAGATCCAACAAAACAGGCAGAGGAAATCTTAAACGCAATCCTGCCACCAAGGTAAGAAACTGCTCTTTCCCCCTTTCACCATGGTCCTAGGATGCCAGGAAGAGTCAGCAATGTAAAATTCTAACGTGGAGAGCAAGGGAAGGTGGGATTCAGTGAATGTCACAAAATGGTGTTGGGGAGAGAGTGGGGGATGGATTTCTAGCTGAATGAAATGTTTGTGCCTGTCAATGAATGTAGCCTATCTAATAGCTGGTTATTCGTGCTGGGTGATGAGTGGTAGTTAAATAAGTATGTTGTCTAATTTGTATCAATATTGGCTCTTTCTGAATCTGACAAAGATGCTTTCCTCAATGATGTATTGAGGTAGCAAATGCCCCTGATGAATTATACATCAGTTTTAAAAGTAATATAAAAAAAATCCTGACATTGCTGTATTAGACACAAAGCAGCAGTCCCCAAGCCTTTTTAAGTCCTCTGTCTTGCTTGATGGCCGTGTAGTGTGCAGTTAGCCATGTTTGCTGTCATCCAAGTGTTGTGTAGCTAAAAGTTCCTGCCTTGCTACATACATGTGTAAAATGCAGGCGCTCCCTCTGTTGTTGAAATGCCAGTTCAGTGGGGATAATGAAAGATGCAAAGGCAGCATTTGTTTGGGGATCAGGACAATTATCAGAAGCTGTGCTGACATTGTCTCTCGATTGTACTGACTATGGCGGGTGGAGAGAATGCTTGTATTGCACACTTCTGTGAAAAAAAAAGGGGGATTCTTTCAGTTGGTGGTGGAAATCAGTGCTCAAGCATATGCTTGATTAAACCTTATCCAGGGGCAGCTCCTAGGTTGTTGCTGATAGTCAATGCTTTTATCGGCAGTGAAGCTATGATGAAGGCAATGAATATGGCTAACAAACTAATCTGTGCTGCTTTTGTGATGCAGAGAATGGGTGGAAGACAATCAGCTATGGATTCAGCAGGTGTCCACCACTCCCAGTACCCGAATGGATGTAGTTCATCTGCAGGAAGAGATGGATCTCAAACTACAGCAAAGACAGGCTCGAGAAACTGGGATTTGTCCTGTCCGCAGGGAACTCTACTCACAATGCTTTGGTTAGTGAATACATCCAGGTCTCAGAAACCATAGCGAAAAGCTTATTTGAATGATACTAAAACGCCTGAAGTTTCTGAATAGCTCAGGACATAGGGAATGGGAAATAGAGACTTTCATCTAAGGTGTATGGGTTCCAATCCACCCTGGTCAATAGGGAATGAGAGTTATTACCATCCCATGCCTGTTTGAGGACCTGTTGATCTCCGTTCAGTTCCTGGTGCAGAGGTCCACATCAGAATTAACACAAGTAGACCCCTGTGTGAAGTCTCAGCAAAGGAACCCAAAGTCAGAATGGACACACACTTTCCTCTTTCCGCCTTAATGGGTCCCTACAGGGCAGGGTTGAGGCACAGTGCATGTGGGAAGCTTGCACTGTTATTAAACAGACTGCACTTGCCCTCTTGAGGCTGCCCAGTCTGTCCCTCTAGCATCTCTCACTACCATGTAGAGATGAAGCCCGGTTGCCGCAGAAGTGCTTCCTCTTAGTGTGAGCTTGTATACAGAACAGTATTTTTAAAAAACTGTCTATATACAAGCAGACACTGAGGAGGTGTTACTGTGGCAACAGGGCATTGAACAGTAAGCTGGGATTTGTTGCATATTTGCATGGGAGGGAAAGATTCATCCAACCACACTTAGATCATACTCCAATAACTGGATTAATTCATCTTAAATTATTAAACATCTTGGTGACACTATGCTAGTCCTCCAGCTGCTACAGACCAACCCCGGAGGCTGGAGGAAGACACCAGCCACTGATTTAGAGAGAATTCTTATTAATATAATTGATTCGTTAATTTCTTAGCAATAGGAAGCTTCAGGTCTACACTGCCTGGCCCTGAACACCTCAAATGTCATGGCCATAATTACCTTGCTAGGCACACTGGCCCATGTCAAAATGTTTGTCTTGAGACCTATGTAAAACATTTTCCCTCTATCTTTACTATTATGCCCTTTTTATTTAAAGATGAACTTATCCGTGAGGTTACGATTAATTGTGCAGAGCGGGGACTGTTGCTGCTTCGAGTCAGAGATGAAATCCGAATGACCATCGCTGCCTATCAGACACTGTATGAGAGCAGTGTTGCCTTTGGTATGAGGAAGGCATTACAGGCTGAGCAGGGCAAATCTGACATGGAAAAGAGAGTAAGTGAGGCTGTTAACTTCATAATGTACCTGTGATCTGGTACACAAATGTCTGTCTTTTATCTTCCTCATGCTGGCTCAGTAGATCATATTTTCTCACATATCTATTAGAGCATTGACAATTTTTTGCAAACAAAATCAACAAACAAAACCTTCACCATTTTTCACTCAGCTCCAGTACTTACATTTGAGTCATTTTCTGATTTCATCAATAAACTCGTTCAAAATATGCTGCTTAGATTTTTTTTTTAATTTTCTAGTTCCACTGGGTGGCAGTAAAGATCATCAAAACACACATCTTGCTGATTCCCTAAGGCTGCTTTTTAATGGATAAATTGGCTGCTATTATTTTTATTCTTCAAAGACTGTAAAATGCAAAACTTATATCTTCATTGTATTTCAAAAACATAGCAATGGATGTCAGGCATATCTATGTTCTTTAAAAGATTGCAGAATTAGAAGATGAAAAGCGAGATTTGGAAAGACAAGTGAATGAGCAGAAAGCTAAATGCGAAGCTATTGAAAAACGTGAAAGTGAAAGACGGCAGGTAGAGGAGAAGAAACATGGTGAAGAGGTGCA